GGCTGCTGGGAAACAGGAGGAGCCAGGGGAAAAATATATAATCCCCAAGGGCACACCCTCAGTGACCTACTTCCTATAGCCATACCCTGCCTAGTTAACACCCAGTAATCCATCAATCTATTAAAAGGATTAATCCACTGATGAAGTTATAGTTTTCATGATTTAATCATTTCACCTCTGAACATTCTTGCATTATCATATAAGCATCTCATGGAGCACCTCATACCCAAACCATAAAGTATGCAAAGTAAATAGGGGGAAAAATCATCTCTGGGCACCATAATGTTGGCTACAAATAAATTTCTACCAGAAAGCCGTGCATAAGGAGGTGCTTCATTAAAAATACAAAATTGGATTAGGCCTTCATGTGTAGGAGTAATTTAATTAGGCAGAAGGGAATAGAGATATTTCAGGTGGATTTATTAACTAAGCAAAAAAAATATGGTAGTGGGAAAGTACATAGCTCATGGAGAAGTAGTGATTGCCGTGGTGAACTCCCAATGTTTGCACCATTATGACTAAGGTATTTATTGTCCTGGTTGTCAAGAGTGTTGATGACTGACAGCTCATAACTAAGTTCTCGACATTATCCTAAGCTGAAGAGATCCTGACACTAGATATAAGGGCAGCCCACACTCAGTGTTTAGCTGATTCAGGATTGTAAAGTCTTATCTCTGGTGCCCCAATTCAGAACATCTCTGAAGAGCTATCTGAGCTCCAGAGTACCCCAGAGAACTGGCTGAGGCCTTCGATGTCATTATGTCACAGCCCAAGTTCTTCACTTGTGCAATCCTGCTTCTCTCCCCTCCCACCCGTGCCGTGTTGATCAAATGGCCATACTCCAATAAACCTTGCCTTTATTCTGAGTTTGCTTCTCTAGAGAACCCAAGCTTTGAAAAAGCAGATACTGAGAAGACCATTCTGACTGCATTCAATTGTAGAGAAGCTGCATTATTCATTTGACAGGCATATATGGAACTCTATTCTGTACCAGGCACTGTTGTAGCACTAGGAACATGGCAGCAAGAAAAACAAGTCTCTTCTCGCATAGGTGTGATGTTTTGGTGGGGTAAACCTAAAGAAACAGAATATCAAGTGATGACAGGTGCTAGGACACAGGTGGAATGTGTGCTTAAGAGTGTATTAGATTACTTAGATAGCTTTCCATTAAAAGGCTCTCTAAAGAGGTGACATGAGTATAAAGCCAAATAACAGAATGATTCATAATGGCATCTGGGGGAGAATATTGCAGACAGAGTAAATAGCAAATACAGAAGACCCTCTTACAGATTTGGACTGGGCATGTTTGGGGAAGAAGAAATGAGATCAGAATAGTGTTAAGAGATAGAAGAGTCAGATCATATTTTAGTGTAAGCAATACATGTTATTCTAAGTGAAATGAGAAAATATTGAAGGGCTTTGAATAGAATGGTCCCATGATCATAATCCCATTTTGGAAGGATCCTTCTGCTTCTTATATAAGGAAAATATTGGAAAGGAGCAAGAGTAGGTGTGGAGAAGCTATTAGAAGACTGTTAAAGGAGTTTAAGCCAAGAATATTGATGACATTGATTTAAGGTTACCACTTGTCTTGGTTTTCCTGGGACTGAGGCCTTTCCCTGCAGTCTTGAGCAAATGGGGACAGTTGGTCACCTAATATCAACTGTGTTATAAATGAGGAGAAAATACATTCAAGATGTATTCTAAAGGTTGAAGAGGCGGAGAAAAAGGTTTGGACAGTTAGGGCAGAGGCAAACACAGAGCTTCTTAAAAGTCAGGACAAGAGGGTTGAACCTTTCAAACATTCATATGGCATTAGTTTGCAGCCTGCATTGGGCTTTGGAAACACTAAAACTAAAGAGGTGTTTCATGAGAGTATTTCTTAAAAATATGACAGAAGTGGTTAGGGCTTGATCTCAAACACTATGGAGCTGATGGTGAGAATGGAGGTGGTGGGGATGGTGGTGCTGAGCTCATGGTGTTGGGTAGCAGTGGTGACAGTGGCAAACATCATATGGAGGTGGAAGTCATGCTGGAGGTGGACATAGTTGAGGTGGTTAAGGTAAAGCTTACACTGATGATAAAAGAAAAAGGAAATGAAAGAAAATGAAGTATATGACACATTTACCAAAAAAAAAGAAAAAAAAAAAACAAGACTTGTGAGTTAAATGAATACAGGAAAACAGAGAAAAAGGGGAATTGGCCACTGAAAACAGATTAATTAGTGACCCTGACAGGAAGGGATGTTGGAAAGGAGAACACTCAAGGGGAGGACTTTAGCATAATTAATTTAAAGTGAGAGTGGAATATCCAAGTGGATGATGGGTTGCACTATTAATTTTTATCATTCAACATGGCCACTTAGTAGTAAAGAAAACATGATTTTGTGTCAAAAGACCTTGCTTCAGTTCCTCACTGGGATATTATGAAAACTGTAACTTCTGAGTCACGAAGTTTTCACTTATAAGTGGACATATCAGCACGCTCCACGGTGTTGTGCAGAAAACTAGATGGAATTGTTAGGAAGTAGTAGGATCTGCTATTTAGATTTGGTTATCTTTTTTCCAAGAAAATCCCCCCCTCCATCATCATAAACTGAAAGGAAATTTTTTTTTAACAATTTAGAAAATCTTGGTTTCTAAAACTTTGTAGTAATAAAATGTTGTAAACTGATGTTTATATATTGCTACCAATGAGCCAGAGAGAGAGGTATGATATCAGAGAGTGGTCATGTCTGACTTGCCTATTGCAAGGGTTAGAGTAACCCCACCCTGCAGCACAGACAGCTCCCCAAGGAGGCTGTCCAGGAGAACAGGCAGATTCCACCACAAAGAACCCTCCACCTAATGAGAATTTTGAACAGCAATTTTGTTCATTTTCATTTCTCTTGTCTCATAAAGTTCAGATGAATTTGCCACACTTTGCGTTAATTTCCATATTAACTCCCTCTCTTATTTTCAGAGATTATAAAAAGTAATATATTCCACTAGACTCTCCTGGTGTGTCAATTAATTCCTAAAGGTGAGTGGGCACATCAGGTGAACTTGGCACATTACAAGAAACTCCCTATTGTTTTATTCTAATGAAAGGGAGTTATGACCTCAGTAATTTCAAACAGGTGTATTATCTAAAGTTTCTACCTATTTACACTTGAAAATGTATGGGAAGTGATATCCAGTCAAGGACCCAGCCTTCAGGGAGGGTACAGTCATGTGGGAGAATTAAGACATGCAAACAACAATAGAAATACAAACTTTTCTGCCAGAATGAGTGGTGTACACCGGTAATCCCAGAGGCTAGCCAGGCTGAGGCAGGAGGATCACAAGTTCAAAGCCAGCCTCAGCAATTTATCAAGGTCCTCAGCAACTTAATGAGACTGTGACTCAAAATAAAAAATAAAAAGGTCTGGGGATAGGCTCAGTGGTTAAGTACCCCTGGAAAAAAAAAAAAAAAAAAAACCCAGCTCTTATTAACATAGAGTGGTAAGATGTAAGATGCTATGGGGACTTGAGAAATTTGAGAAATGAAAGAATAGAGACCATAAACACATGTAGTATTGTTTCCAACAGAGGCATTACTTCAGCAGAAAGTATTACCTTTTCTCCTTCTCTCCCTACATCTTACTTACAGATAAATCATACCTTTTCTTTCTTGAAAGATGGATATAATGAGTATCCCAAAATAAGTAGTTATACTTCCTTACATTGTTAAATTACCTCTAGGCAGTTATTTCTACATTGAAGACTGGCTGGTGTCACATACATGTCAGATTATATATAGATAAGGCCAAATATAATCCTCATCTGAGTATAGCATGAGAAGTTCCTGAGTATATAGGCTTCTGTACCTCATTCCCTCTGTACCTCATTCCTATGTTAAAAGTTTATCTGCAGAAGTCTGACACAACTGTTGCCTTCTTCTGAATCAGAATTCGTATTTTGTAAGGGAAAACACTAAGAAACAACTCTGATTTGACATAAAGCTAATTCCTTGTGTTACAAAGCAGCAGGGAGCCTCCTGGATCTAAGAAGGGCACAGCATACTCCTCTCTCTCTCTCTCTCTCTCTCTCTCTCTCTCACACACACACACACACACACACACACACACATACACACACACACACACGTGAATGCAAATTCTACTCTGTTGAGCAACAGCATGGTTCTTAACCAGTAATCCTACAGAATAATATGTAATCCTACAGAATCCCAGAGTCTCACTTAAGATGGGGGAATTGATAGGAGTCCTTTCGGGGGCAGGGTGGAGGGTAGTTTAATCATTTTACATGCAGCATTAGTTGTTTAAAAATGCCTTAGTACAGCATCGGTGAATTTTTTGTGTGTCTAAAATATGATGTAATGAATAACATGAAGAGCTATGAGATTCTTCACATTGTATAACTACACATATCAATTTTTTTTACAAATTTTAAGATAAGGACAAAGAAAGTCAGACTTCTTCATTTGAAATGAATAAAACTAAAAGTATAAAACATATTTCATTTCAGTTCAGTTATTAGGAATTCAGAATTTTCACCAATAAATAGTAATTTAATAAAACACAAATGGAAGTCTTTATTCCCAAAACTATAAACATAAAATGTTAGACATAATCCTATTTGATATGTAAAAAAAAAAAAATCGAGGTAGGTTGAGTCTACTAAACAAGTGTTAAGCCCTTTTCAAAGCTTTTTTATAAAGTTATAAATTTTTGTTGAGCATTTTGCAGTGCTCATTTGGGTATCACTTCCAGTACCACTGAATTATAAATATATTTTGATGGATGTTAAAGTATAAATGTGCTTTTTAAAAAACTGGTATAATTCTTGATGATTCCTTAATGAATAAAAGAACCACTGTGTACCCATGGTCCTAAAAGTTTTCAGATTCTAATTGTCATAACCCTCCTCTCTCAAGGAATTTACAATATGTACATACAAACTATATTCATTCACCTTTATCTGAAAAATTGTTAATACCTCTTTTATTGGTTTTCATAGCAAGAGAAATTGGGTGACATCTGCTTCTCCCTCCGCTATGTACCTACTGCTGGTAAACTGACTGTCGTCATTCTGGAGGCAAAGAATCTGAAGAAGATGGATGTGGGTGGCTTATCTGGTAAGTCCTGGTGATTATTGATTTTTTTAAATGCTGTTTCATCATGGATACCAAATGCATTGCACACCTGCTGTGACTCCCTACTCCTTAATTGATCACAGTCCTCTCTCCTACTGAGCCTGGAAGCAGTCTAAGAATCCATCCTAACGCTGTGCCCCAGGAAGCCACTCTCAATTTATTGGAATTGGCATCAAACATAAAATCTATTTTCCTTCTTCATAGCCAAAGTATCAATTGTCATTTCTATGGCATTGAAAGCTAAAAATTTCTGCTTCCCTTCTGAAAGACCCTACTGTGACAGATTATAGTTTGAGGGGTTTTGTTTTTGTTTTTGTTTTTGGCTCAAATTCACCCAAGATTATATATATATATATATATATATATATATATATATATATATATATATATATATTTAATCAGAGACTTGTTTATTAGGTATTTGATAGTCTAACATAATTTTTATAATATCATTTTATTAAAGGCTTGGCTATTTTAGAATATATATATATATATATATATATATATATCATCCGTTTGAAAGTGAACTCCCATAGTAATGCATTCAGTACTATAGCTTAGAATAAATAGGGGGGCTTTGGGGTTTAAAGTATATACAACCCAACCATAATAATAAAGAGTGGATGAAGTACATTCTTGTTCCAAAGCAAAGTCAAGTCAAGGACTTGTCATTTCCATGGTTGAACATAATTTTTTTCTCCTCTGTATGATTAAATCAATTATATTTTTAATGTTCCAGTAAATCATTAAAGTGTGAAGAATTTTCCTGATACACCACAAGGTCATCATAAGTAGACTACAGTTGACATTGTTTCTGTCCACAGATTTACAATGGATACTACTTGTTACTCAACACTTTCTCTAATAAAAGTATTGCAAATTTCAAAAGGTCACACTAATACAGCATGGTGATATTATATTCTAAAGCACAACAGCTAAAAAATGCTAAAGTTGAATTTCCACTTACTAACCCACTAATTTGTCAACCAATTTCCCCTTGTACCTAAGTTTACTTCTCTTTATAAATAAGCCACCTGGGGAAGATACACTAATTCTTTCCTATCACCAAGACCCTATTAAATAATGTCCTGTTTTCATTGCCTTAACAGCATGACAAAGCAAATTTGGAGCAATGAGCGCAGTTTCCTCTGAAAATATGAAGAATATTTAATATGCCTAGTGAAAAACATGCAGAGAAATTTTTTTACTACAATTACAGTTTGCTCTCAGACTACTACTTAAGGTCTTCACATACCTTGACCTTTCCATCTCTTCTGGTTCAATAGCCATGTGCCATTAATGGTTCCGGTAATGGTTCCTCATAGGCTCCTTTCCTAACTTCCATGCCAACCATCCTCTCATCACCACATCCAGTACTCCCGTAGTCTTTCTAGTTTACCCTGGGTCCTTCAGCAGAGTTCCACAGCAGTGTTTCCATGAAGGCAGTAAAGATTCAGGGCGCCTTACTTGTACTGGCTTCTCTCAAGTTCGTAAAGTTCCCATGGTCATAGACATTTCAGCTGCCATTTTTAATCACAATTTGCTGTCTCTTTCCACATGACTTTTCCTTCATCATCCATCCCTTCTTATTCCATTATATCAGAGAAGCTACAGGCATTTTCAGGATTTGGCTAAGGAAACCTGGGTCTAGCAGGCTATATGTACATGGCTTCCATTCATAGCCATATATTACATATATTACTTACTGCTAACAAGCCCAGCAAAGGAAGGAAATCCGGGATGGCTCCTACCACCCACTGTACTAACACACCAGTGTGACAGGAAAGGGGTACACTCAGAGGTCAGATCTAATTTAAGATTCATAATTTTGTATCCTTTTCTCTAAAGAAAATCATCAAAACTTTATTAGTTTCAGAACCCACACAACCTAGCTCCACCCTGACACTTGAATTACCTGGATTGATTTTGTTTAATTATTAGATATTAAATAAAGATACTTAAAGTACAAATACTCTTAAAGAGGTCAAATTTTAAGGGCTTCCTGCGGCCTGCTGAATTAAATCATAACCACTGTAACCACATAATGTAGGTAATTTCAGACTATGTCATACCATATCTCACTGCAACCAAATGGCCAATCACACTCTTCTCCAAATTCACAGTGTGACTTGCTACCTTTCTTTGCTTAGGAGGTTTCCTTTACCTGGAATTCCCTCTCTTCAACCAATGTCTAGCTCAATCCTACCCATTCTGCAGGTCCAGTTGAAGTATTGTTTCCTTCATTGTGCAAGCACTAGATTCACTTTAGTGGACAAAAACAACAAAAGGCTCTGCCCTCCTACAGCTTGTATTTTAACGTGGGGAGACAGATAAGAAGTCAATAAATGAAAAAGCATATAGTGAAGTGACCAGTACTATGGAGAAGTAAAGCAGGTAAGATGGTAAAGAATGTTGGAAGTTACGTAAATGGGGTGGTAAGGGAAGGCCTGATGAGTAGGTGACATTTTGGAAACAACCTGGAAGAGGAGCAGAAGTGAAGCATGGGATTGCGTGGGGAGAGAGAAAGTTTTAGGTGGTGGGACTCTGTGAAGCCTTTTTTGATCCATCCCACTAAAATAAATCTTTGTCTTTTTTAAATGCCACTAGCAATTTGTTCACACCTCTGTAACATCGCACTTCTCTCTCACTAGGCTGCCTTCTGTATTTATGTCTCTCACAATGCTCTCACTGACTGGTAGCACTGAGCATAGCTGCTGAATGAATAATGAATTATTTACAAAGGAGGTATGGCCTGAAAAAACAAGTCCTGCATTTCAAATTTGTTTAACCTACTTACCATTAAAACAACTTTAAGCATTTGAATGGTCTGTCTCAAAGTAAGCTGACCTACGTACAAGGAGACCAAAATTATATAATAAGATCATTTCAGGTAATCCAAACGCCAAACTGCATTTACTGGAAATGGCTAGTTAATTAGAACCAAAGTGGGATGTTTTGCCAATGTTTACACCCCACTCTGCCACTACTAGCAATTTAACATTGAACAAGTTATGTAGCTCTTCTAAACCTCACTTGCATGATCCATGAAGCAGAGTGATAAGGGGACACTGCAGATAAGTTTATTTTGAGAACTAAGTGACAGCCCAGAACCTGAAACAACTAAGTGCTCACTAAATATTTCTGTAATTATTTCTATTACTGACTTTATCAAATCTTGGGATAACTGTGCAAAATGTGAAAACAACAGATGGTTTAAAAACTTGCTTGATTCACTGGGGAAAAAACAATTCATCCATTTGATAGAATTGTCCAATCAATTCAGGCAAATCAGTAGCCCTATGTTTTGAATAGACCCAGTAGTGAATTAAGACAAGATAAGGAATTAATCAGCAATACATTGAAGAAAATAAGAAAAAATTATTTATTTATTTATTTAAATTAGGTATATAGCACAGCAGAATGTATTTTGATTCATTGTACACAATTGCAGCACAACTTTTCATTTCTCTGGTTTTACACATGTAGTGTCACACCCTATGTGCAGTCTCACATGTACCTAGGGTAATGATGTCCATCTCTTTCCTGCCTCCATGTACCCTCCTCAACCTCCCTCCCCTTTGCCCAAAGTTCTTCCATTTTCCCATGCCTCCCTCCTCCCCTTTTGGGATCAGCATCCACTTATCAGAGAGAACATTCGGCCTTTGGTATTTTTGGCAGTAACTAACTTCACTTAGCATGATATTCTCCAACTCCATCCATTTACCTGCAAATGCCATGGTTTTATTGTCTTTTAATGCTGGGGTGTATGTACACCACAGTTTCTTTATCCATTCATCTACTGAAGGATATCTAGGTTGCTTCCACAGTTTAGCTATTGTGAATTGAGTAGCTATGAACATTGATGTGGCTGTGTTACTACAGTATGTTGATTTTAAGTCCTTTGGGTATAGATGGAGGAATGGGATAGCTGGGTCAAATGGCGGTTTTCTAAGGAATCTCCATTCTGCTTTCCAGAGTGGTTGCACCATTTGCAGTCCCACCAGCAATGTATGAGTGTGCCTTTAAGTTTTTTGAGTTTTTACATACCCTGGAGATTAGTGCTCTATATGACATGTGTGTGGCAAAAATTTTCTCCCCAAATGTAGGGTCTCTCTTCACCTCATTGTTTCTGTTGCTGAGAAGAAGCTTTTTAGTTTTAGACCATCCCATTCATTAATTCTTGATTTTATTTCTTGCTCTTTAGAAATCTTGTTAAGGAAGTCAAAGCCTAATATGACATGATGTAGATTTGGGCCTGCTTTTTCCTCTATTAGGCACAGGATCTCTTGTCTAATTTCTAGGTCCTTGCTTGATCCACTTTGAGTTGAGTTTTATGCATGGTAAGAGATAGGGGTTTAGTTTCATTTTGCTGCAATAAAGGTTTCCAGTTCTCCCCTCACCATTTGTTGAAGAGGCTATCTTTTCTCCAATGTATGTATTTGGCACCATTGTCTAGTATGAGATAATTGTATTTATGTGGGTTTGTCTCTGTGAATTCTATTCTATACCATTGGTCTACATGTCTATTTTGGTACCAATATCATGCCATTTTTGTTACTATAGCTTTATAATATAGCTTAAGGTCTGGTATTATGATGCCTCCTGCTTCTTTCTTCTTGCTAAAGATTGCTTTGGCTATTCTGGGTCTCTTATTTTTCCAAATGAATTTCATGATTGCTTTTTCTACTTCTATAAGGAATGACATTGGGATTTTAATTTAATTTGCATTGAATCTGTATAGTGCTTTGGGTAGTATGGCCATTTTAAAATTAAAACTTGACAATATTAATTTTGACTATCCAAGAGCATGGGAGATCTTTCCATCTTCTAAGGTCTTCTTTAATTTCTTGCTTTAGTATTCTGTAGTTTTCACTGTAAAGGTCTTTCACCTCTTTTGTTAAGTTAATTCCCAAGTATTTTATGTTTTTTGAGGCTATTGTGAATGGGGAAGTTTTCCTAATTCCTCTTTCAAGGAGTCATCA